CAGGTGAGCTCAGGTTGAGGGTAGATCCCCTCTGAGCTGCAGGTGATCCTGTTTTCTACCCGCTGGATGTTCACTTGATGGACTGGAGCTGCAGAAAAAGGAAAAGCAAAACAAGGTTTGCACCATAAGAATCACATTTTGTAGCAGTGATGTGTTGGATAACCATTAAATGTGGTGATATAATCAATGCGTTAACCACCTCAGAGCTCGTTCTTCTTCTGCTGAATCTTTACAAACAACAAATGCAAACTAGCCGCGAGCTAACTCTGGTGCGATTACGTTTAATTGTGCACTCTTCCTACAAAAATAAANGGTGCGATTACGTTTAATTGTGCACTCTTCCTACAAAAATAAACAAATTGCAGTAAATAATACGAGTGAAACAGATATTTACATAGAAATGTGAGGTTCAGGTTCCTGTAAACTAAGGCTTTGTTTTCAGTGATTATTTCCTGCAGTATAACAAAACCTGCATAACCTGAGAATTAACAAAGATTCTTGATGCTGACGTGAACGAAGTTTGTTTGTATGTTATTGTTTTTAACTGTGTAGCTTTTTAATTTTTTTTAAATTACTTGCTTTTCTGTTAATGAATGTTTTATCACCTTCTCAGAACCACAACCAGTACATATGGATCCATGCTGTGAAAATCTGTGTGTGTGTGAAAGTGTTACTGGGACACAATGGAGTGAACATGAAAATAGAAACAACATGAACATGAACTTGCTCATCCTGTGATTTCTGATGCTTTTCTGTATTTTTCTCATACCTTCAACTTTCAGGTTGATAAATGAATCCTGGTTTCTACTTAAGGTGCTGACGTAACACTTGTATCTTCCTTCATCCTGAACCTTCACTCCTGTCAGCTGCAGTGAGGCGTTTAATTTGGAGATCTGCTCCTTGAACAGTGATGTTCTGTTTCTGTAGAGCTGGTCCTGATGTCCAAGCTGGTCTTGGTTGTCGTAGTACGAGTGGACATTAAGGTCTCCTGCTGTTTGAATCCAGTGGATGACGACGTTTGGACCGTCCTGGAAGCTGCACGGTAAGATGCATCTCTCCATGAAAACACAGGACACCTCAGTATCTGCAGCATCAGGTAAAGAGACGTCATCCAAAGGCAGTCAGAGAAAATGACACGTGTCTGAGAAAGTTCACATAAAACCTTGTTGCTGAAATTTTTCCTCATTTTGGGCTCAAATTTCACTGCAATAAAAACATCTGCACCTTTATGCAAACAGAACCACCAGGATGAGAAGTGGAGTGAACGTGTAAAAAGTTTTTTAAACAGAAAAGTGGTTTTAGTTTTGATCCTTAACAGCCAGACGATGCTGGTCCACAGCGGCTCACCAGGTTCAGTCCGTCTGTGACCTTCTGAAACTTAAACGTAGAAATGAGGTCAGAAAACAACGTGAAGTTTTAAGTAGCAGAAATAAATTTTCCTCTTCTTTCCTGTCTTTTGCATTATTTTTTATGCAGACAATTTTTAGAAGGAAAAAGAACTGAGCTGCTAAGTTGTTCAGAGAATTGATTATTAATTACAGATAAGACAGGAAAGGAAGTACACAGATATGTAGATGCTGCTTCCACCCAGCAGGGGGCGCTGCAGAAACAGCAATAAACCAGGAAACCAAATGACAGTCTTCGATTCCAGTCACAGCTGCAAACAGATTCACTGATGGAGGTGTAGGACATAACTCATCACATATGGGTGTTCAAGGCCTCCACAGATGGAGGTGAATGTAGGTGTGTATAGAAACATGCTAAATAGTTTATGTTGTGTTGCTGCATACAGTCTCTCTAGTAACAAAACAATGTCAGGAATTGTTGTTTTACTGGACTGAGTGTCCAGACTGGTTCTGCAGGATTCCAGTCGTAGGTATTTACCAACAGGGTTATGCTGTAATCCTCCCTGACATGATTCTACATATATTCTCTACCTTTTACTAACAGAAGCAGCTAGTTTAAAATTTACTACTTGACATTTAAACCTGAGTTTAAAATTGCACAACTTTAATTTGAATTCCTGCAGAAGCTTTTCCAAAGACATCACATATGAACTGCTGAATGAAGCTAAACTATGTGCATTTGAATCATGCACTTTATGACTGAATGGTGCAAACGTAAAATGCATCGAGGAAAAGAAGAGTCTCCATCTTTGTGCACATAGTTTAGAAGTCCCCCATCGACCACTCCCACTCTGCAACATGCCAGCAGCTTAAACTTCCAGAAACACTTTTCTTTGATACATCTCAGACATTTAAACACTCATTTATGTGTAAACTGTCAGTGAGGAGCACAAACAAACTTCTGTTTCTTTTGTAATTTCAAGTTGACCTCCAGAAGTGTTTATTTCCTTCTGCAAACCACCATGAAGTCATTGAACACACCTCCGATTCAGGTTTAAGATCAGATTTATATATTAATCGCTTCACTCACCTCCTCTTGAAGGAATCCACAAAAAAGTCAGAATGACCAAAAACACGACACATTTGATCCTCGTCATCGTTCTGTTCAGTTTAAGTCCCTTTGAGCGACTGAGGTGAAACTGAGTAATGAGTCCTATGGTGTGATACGTAACAAAACTCATCCGACTGGTTGGTAGTTTATGCCAGCATTGAACATTGAACTGTGACGAGTCATGAGTCAGGCTTTATGGATGTTTTTACACCTCAGCTGTGCCAGATTGAGATTCTTCCTTATAGTCCTATTCAATGAACAGTAATTTCCAAATTCACCACCAAGACAAACAACTTCAACAGTTTATTGTGTCTAGATTCATCTGTACTGACTGGAAACCGATAAACCTGCATCATCTGCTGTCTGTGAAGAACCAGGAAAACAATTCATAAACAACTGCTGAGTGCCAGTGTATTCTCTTTACTTCCTCTTTCTGTGAGATGAACTCAGATGTCATAGAGACCAAGTGAAGCAAGACAGAGCAGGAAAGGCTTCACCTGCTTGTTGTTCTTGAATTTCTTTGGATCGCAGCATTTTGTTGCAACTTTTTGAGATCTCTTGGCCAACTTCATTTTGTCAGACAGGTTCTATTGAAGTGATTTCTTGGTTGAACAGGTCTGGAGGTAATCAGGCTTCAGCGTGGTCAGTGGAGTTGAACTCAGCTTTCCAAAAAATGTGATTAGCCACAGTTAATTCATGATTTAACAAGAGAGGCAGTGACTTTTCACACAGAACCAGGTAGGTCTGGATAACTCACTTCCCTTTAAACATCCATCCATCCATCATCTATACACCTCTTAATCCTCACTAGGGTCATGGGGGGCTGGAGTCTATCCCAGCTGATTTAGGGTGAAGGCAGGGGACACCTGGAGGAGGTCACCTTAAAACATTAAATCATCATTAAAACACAGCATTTTTGGTTATCTTTGTCTAATATTTAAATTTGTTTGATGGTCTGAAACATTAAAGTGGGGGAAATATTCAAAAACAAAAGGAATTCGAGAAGGGGACAAATACTTTTTCACAGCACTGTATGTTGTAGTTTGGCTCTACCTGGTCAGTCTGATCCGCCACTCAGAAGACCAACAAGGTGACATGGCTGAATGTCACAAACCGGTGGATGCCGTCACAGTGGCCACGTTTATCTTTAACAAAACAGACGTGAAAAAGACCGACTGCAACTCTAAATGTTGTTTGTTTTTGCTGTTATGTGCAGCGGTGGAAGTTCTCACCGTGCTGGAAGTGAAACCACAGCTGGATGCTGCAGCAGAGCTCCAACAAGGTCAGTAAAACAATGTGTCTGAGCCAAGCAAAGGTCCGGCTTCTTTCTTTAATCCCCCCCAAATGTTCTTTATTTGCAATAACAATTGTCGTGGGAGCCTCAGTAGAAATCAACTGGACTTCTCTTATCTAAGAGGCTTCTTCAGTTCTAACTGACTGACGGAGAGTTTTATAGTCACTCCAGCTCACATGACTAAAGGCCCATGAAGGACCAGGACCCAAAAGCCTCAAGGTGTGAAACCAGGTTCACAAACAGCAGTTATGGTGGCGGAGCTGCAGGTTTACACAACAAAGGTATGAATCTGCCGTGTCACGACTGACTCAAGATGTTTCTGATGGCCAAACTTTCTGGGGAGAGATCTCATCACTCACTCCTCTTGGACGGGAGGTGAAACGTCTTCCAGAACCGACAAGAGAAGTCCAGTTGATTTCTACTGAAGCTCCTACGATGACCATGACCTGGATGACTGAGAATCTATATAACAATTGTCAAACATGATGAAAATTGACTGTGTGCAGGCCAGAGGAGTCCAAAGTTCTTAAATCAAGTGTCTTGAGAGTGTTTTTAATTCCACCCGTTACAGTCAAACTGAGTAAATATCTTTAGTTCACTAATGCTGTAGTTCATGGTGTTATTTTATAGTTTTTACTGTGATTACTGTGAACAATTTTGTGTGTAAACAGTCTGAGATGTAAGAATATTTCCAACAATACGTGGAATAAGGCAGCAGGAGGTAACAGGACTGGTCAGACTACTTTAACCAAACAGTCAGTGCAGATTTTTAACCCATGAAACTGTTAATATTTGTCATTTTGCTGCATGTTTTACTCATTTGGACGATTGTTTGCATTGGTGCAGGTTTTGTTTGAGCGTCAAACCTTTATTTTCCTGCATTCTGGTGAATTTTTCTGCATCTACTCGTGCGTTTTTTGCGTTAATTCACAACAGAAATAAGGACGATTTTCCTGCATATCATTTAAATCATAAGAATCTAAACATCTACTGTGCTTCAAAGTCATATTAAAGGCAGCTTCCACATACTGGAGTTTATTAGTTTTGGTTTCCATCAGTCACAGCAGCGTTATGTTGCACAGTTTTTCATGCACATATTTACAGACCACACTGTTTAAGTCTCACTTCAGCTGCTGATAACACAGTTTGTTCTGTTTGAGGAACTCGGTCGACCTTTTAGGCACAAAACCTTTTCATAACCTTGTGACTGAATTAAGAAATGTTCTCTACAAAAGGCAGTCAGACATCATCAGTTTAAATAAATATAATTTTATTTTTAAAAATCCAGCAAAAATTTATAAAACTTAAGTATGACCACTTCAAAATACACAGTGAAGTCTGACTTCTCCATTCTTGGCACAGATTATACACAATTTGTTCATTTGTTTTAGTAGTTTGTCTTTAAAATCCTTTGTGGAAGAGCTTCTATCCAGCAGCAAAGGAAATTCACCATTGTCAAAATGCCAAAGACTAAGAATAAACATAGCAATTACATTTTTTTCAAACCAGTTTTGTTGGATGAGGTTTAACTTACTCAAGCACAGTGGACAGTTTTATTCAACAAGTAAAAGCACATAGATTTCTATCCAATAGCCCCCATGTAAAGGCTCGTTCTGAGTCAAGAAAAACACTGTGTCATGATAAGCAGAAAGACTCGTGTTCTGGGCGTGTTTAGTGTCAAGCTGCTCTAAATACTGTTGGCTTTCTTCATTTTTCTGCTGGACGTTGCAACAAAAACAGTCAGTAAAACAATCTGTGATGTGTTTCTGACTGTCGGTAGCTTCATGTTTAGACTGCCAGCGTGTGCAGCTCTATTGCGTGGCTCAGTTTTCATGGAGTGGATCAAAAGTACAGCTCAAAGGGATGGTTGGACAGGTGCTAATCTACAGTCTTTGTGTCACCTTCAGTAGATGATGGTATACTCTCAGTTGAGAGACCAGCAGGAGAGTTCCCTTTTTCTTATCAGCCAGATTTAAAAAAAATAGATATAAAACTGGTGTCAGTGTCAGTGTGAGCAGTATTTAGAATATGTTCATGGCCTTACTGTACCGTCAGATGAGGAGCTGAACCTTTGCTCTCTTCAGAACTACTTGTACTTTTAAGTTCGTTAATGCATGACTTTGCAGTTTCACACAGACTCCTGCAAGGGCAAACGTGCATCAACAAAGGAGTGACATCAAGACTTAACACCTCGTTTCCACACAGCTTTGTTTGGTTGGTTCACCTCAGCCATTAAAAAGGCACATTTTTATCAGTTTTTATCGTCCAGTTTCACAGACTATGTGCAAAAAGCATTACTGCCATAAAACCAGGACCAGTGGTGGGAGACAGTCAGGTGGGGAAACAGATCTGTGAAATACTTTGTTCCAGGACGTATGAACCTCTACTCCTTACACAGCTAGCATGTGTTAAACTAGCTTATCGTCAGCATAGAAAACGTGCTGAACGTTAGCGTGTTAGCTAATTAATATTCCCAACTGTGAAGGAATAATTACTTTCCTCTCTTGGAGTTAAGTTTCCAGAGATGGTTTTGAACTTCTCTCCTTAGCTCCTCTGACTGACCTCCTCATGTAAAAGTAGTGCTAGTAGCAGATGTGCACTCTGCAAATCTTCTACACATTCTTGACCTCATGTAGATCTACTGCAGGAGGACAGGCGAGCACTCCCTGCACCTCTCAAGACCAGATTGCACCAAGGCGCCGGACTATCTTTGTTTCCCTCTCGCCCATAAATCTGGATGTGTCTGGAGGGTGTAAGACTGAAGGTATGAGAGAAACCCTTAGATGCTGGCATTACGTGCATGAACTGCTGTTCCGGTAGTGTCACTTCCTCTGATATCAGTAAACCTCATTTCAACCTCAGTCATCTGAGTGTCTGGTGTGTCTCTGTGTCGGGCTCCTCATCCTACATCAGCCTCTTCCAGAATCTACAGGCACATTAATGGAGTCTCTGTCAGAACCACTGCTGAGGTTCAAATGGTTCAACGTACTCAAGGAAAATTCTAGACTTTAAAAAAACTGACAAACAGGAGGTTCCCACAGGAACGAGTGGACTTAAGTTGATTGTGTACAGAGCCATGTGGAGACGAGGTATAAGACGCACCGAGACCTTCAGTAAAAGAGACACAATAACAAAAGTCTAAATCACATTAAAACTCTAAACAGATAAAATCTGATTCTAGGAAGCAAAGAACAAAAATACCTTCATTTTAAACGTAGTGCACTAAATCAGCATCACAGGGTTTTATCCATCACGTACCTTCAATATCTGTACCAAACCTCTCAGTTACAACAAGAGTCTTTTCTAACAAGAAAACTAACGATAGGAAAACACTTTGACGCATGTCGAGTCGCTTCGTCTGTTTTTGCTAAATGGTTCTTTTCCATTTCCTCCAAGGAGACGAGGTAGAGGAGGAACCACATGCTGTACTTCATATCCCAAAGAACTTCACAGTCAAGTGCAAAGTCTGCACGTTCTTCATTAATCGGCCCGGATGACAACATCTGTCAAGTGGCTCCAAAACACAGAACCGATCGTCCTCGATTCTCACAGTCTCGTCAGACTGAAGTCCACTCGAATGTCAGGCTTTCGGGTTTTGCTTTTTCTTTCTTGTGATACTGATCACAAATCAGAGCCAAGTGCCATTAATCCTTTAGTTCCCAGCGACGCGGCTCATTTGTCTCCAGTTCTGTTTATGCATCAACATGTTTGGCGTCACCAGAGCGTTAGGTTCCAATGCAGTCATTTTTAATTTATTTGTATTTTTTTGAATGCCATCTTCATCATGAGGCCCTGCAAAGAGAAAATAAACAGAATTCAGCCCTGAAACACTCAAACACACACACAAGTAGTCTTTCAAATGCATGCTGCTTGACAAACTTCGTCACAAGTGATATTGTGCATATATGAGTTTAGGGGCATACAAAGAAAAAGGAGGGAAAAAAACACATAAAGGGAAAACATCTGTTCCTCAAAAAAGAGCAAAACCACTGAATAACATATAAAACAATACAAAACCTAAAAGTTAATTTGTGTAACATAAATAAAATTTGAAAATACAATAAACGCTTGTCACATTCAAACCTTGTGGCTGGTTTTTAAAACCACAAAGCTACATTAATATATGACTAAATAATGGGCCCTGAAACAGACCCCTGAGGGACTCCAGTTAATTTCAAGCGAGATTTAAACTGAGGAGAAATAGGTGGTTACTGAAGCAGTTTGACCAGTCATAGTGTGGCATTTGCTGAAATATTGCTCACGTACAAAACAAATAATGAATTTAACAGCTGCTGTTTTCACTATATAAGACATATTTACCTCAAAGAGAATACCTTGTAGAATGCCTCCGTGTCTGTGCTAGTTCTCTGATGTGGATACGGCCTGATGGTCCTGGGAGGGAGAAAAATTTGTCGTCAATTCAGTGTTTTCAACATCTGTAGAGAGCTATGGCTGTCTTTAGATCTGGGATGAGCTGGTATTTATTAGTTTTTCTAATCCATATTCCACTCAGTCACCAAAAAGTGCAGTTCAAATTAAATTCAATGAATAAAATCATGAACAAATCAGTATATCTATGACAATCAACTTTCATAACAAGATAAAACTAAAATTTTGCAAATTTTTATGGTTATTGAGCTTTTTTAAAACATTTTTTTTTTTTTTTACCCCATTTCTTGTTTTTTGCCTCGGCCTCTGGTTTCTTCTACAGTACTTCAGGTATAGTAAAACTCCTACAAGCAGAAATGCTACTCCAACCGCCACTCCCACAGCAATGCCTACGACATCAGCTGGTTTGTCTGCAACAGAAAGAGAGTGAGTTAATTAAACTGCAGCAATGTTATCCTGCACATTACACCGGGCTGCTTTAGTTTGTGACACTGGTAGAAATTATGGAGAATAAACGGCAAACTAAAGACGTAAAAGCAGGAAGTAAGCTTTAGGGAGAACTACAGACAATACAAACCTTTCTTTTAGCCCGTTTGATTGATTGTGGTTTAATTTACTCAGCAATAATTAACATTTTTGTTTATTTAATGGTCAGAAATAACAGGAAAAAGCATAGATTTCTGCCACAGAACAGACTCAGTGTCAGTCAGTGTGTTCAGCAATGAAAACAAGGTGCTCGTATCACACAGGCAGAATGTAAACAGTGAATATAGTGAAGGCATAACATGACCTATTGGTTGGTGGTGCTGCTATTGACTGATTAGACACCGACATTTATGCCATCGATATGTCTTTGACACTGTGAATTTCAGCAGAACATCAGAATACTGGACGGTACGTCTAATGAAAAGAACTTCTTCTGTCGGTGTGAACTGAGCCTTGGATTTCTGAGACAAACTGTGTGTCTGGCTGCAGGATTAGTTCGATCACTTTTAGGATCACAGAAAATGTCTGTGTTTCATGTGGCACAGTCACATGGAACAAGCAAGATATGGGTTTGCTCAAATTTACAGACATGATTTGAACTGGCTGCCACATGTTTAAAGACAACAAAACGTCCTTCCTGCACGCTGTCATGCAGGTCGCCTATTCAAACAGGAGAGCAGCAAGGTATTATAGACAGATTGTTCGATGGCACTTATCCAGGTTGTTTTCTTCTGACTGGATCCTCGTTTGTTTTGTATCTACTCTCGATGGACGTCGCTTTGGATAAAAGCGTCTGCCAAATGAAACTGTAGAAAACCTTTTACACTCATGTAACCCCATACTATCACACTCCAACTCTGTGCTTCACTGTCGGGTTGAGACGATGCATTCACTGTGGTAAAAAACTACGAGGTGTGTCAGAAAAGCTCCAGGACTGGTGTCACAACAGATATACTTCAAACCCAAACTACAAACCAGGAGTTTTCCCCTTCAGACGATCAACCAGCTCGTCAACAAAGAGATCCTGCAGCGTTTGCTTCGTTCAGAGAAGAGGCAGAGTTGTATCAGGACCAGTGGAGGCTGCTTCACCATGACGACCTGCTCACAGCGCCCTGAGCATCCCACAGCTTCTGGCTGAGAAGAACATCTCTGTGCTGGAGCAGCCTCCCTACTCACCCCACCTGGGTCCGTGGGATTGTTTCCTCTTCCCCAAGCTCAAGGGGGTCATCAAGGAGACCCGTTTAGAAGACGTGGGCGACATCAAGATGGCTGTGACGACGGAGCTGCAGAGGATCCTGGAAGAATCCTTCCAGGAGTGCATGGAGGCGTGAAGGCAGAGAAGGCTGGGACAGTGTGTTAGAGTCCAGGGGGATTACTTGGAAGGAGAAAAGTTGTAGTTTGTAATTTGGATTTGAAATCTATCTTTTGTGACACCAGTCCTGGAACTTTGCCGACACACCTCGTAGTCCAACTTTTCATTTGTAATTGCCACACAGCCTCCAGAATTGTGGAAAAGAAGGCGAAGAAGGGTGTGGAAAAAAAACAAGGCCTAAAATCACTAGTAAGCAGGTTTGACTAATGCTGTTACAGTGAAATGCGTCACCTCTGGTGGAGTTTTGACTTTACAAGTCACAGATGTAGCAGAATAGAAAAAAAACTGCACCTCAACCCATAAGTGCCCTACTTGCTGCTTATTGGTCAACCCTACGATTTCCAGATGTTCCCTAAACGCCTCGTGTGCAGGCTGTGGTAGATGTTAGCTGGACAGCTGTGCACAGAGAAGCTTCTCATCTACACTCAGTGACTGCAGACAGCTGTGTGACTGAAAACTACTTAGAAAAGTGTGAGATAGCAGAATAAGAATACCCAAATATTAGCAGTTTTTGCTCAGAGAGACTTTCCTAACCGCAGCTTGCTCTTACCTCCGGAAATCTGAAGAAAGGTGTTGGTTACGTAGGTCTCCTCAGCATCACTGAGTTCACAGGTGTATATTCCCTCCTGCTGTGAAGATAAGTCCTGCAGTGTGATGTCTCCTGACTCTGACACATGCTTCACCTGCTGCCTCCACTCCTCTGAAACTGAGAGGCTGCCGTCAGTCTTTTCCTTCGACACGATGACCTGACTGTGGTTGAATGTCCAGATGAAGCCCGTCAGAGGAGTGTCTGGGGTTTTGCAGCTGAGTTTTCTTTCAGTGCTTGACCCACTAGAAGATGCTGAAATTACACGATGCAAAAGCACACATGAACATGAAGAAGTGATGTTTGATAGAAACCTGGTGCCCGACAAAAGTACAATTGTAAAAAATGGTCTCTTTAAAGGATTAAAGGATTTCATACAGTTAAAAAAATGTTTGAATAACAAATTCTGGGGGCTGCAAGGTGGCTCGGTGGTTAGCAGGTCGCCGGTTCACGTCTCGGTGAGGACACCGGGATCTTTCTGTGTGGAGTTTGCATGTTCTCCCCGTGCAGCGTGGGTTCTCTCTGGGGGACACCCTGGACAGGTAACCAGTCTATCACAGGGCTACACTTAGAGACAGACAACCAAGCACACTCACATTCACACCTACGGACTATTTAGAATCACCAATTAACCTCAGCATGTTTCTGGACTGTGGGAGGAAGCCGGAGAACCCGGAGAGAACCCACGCTGCACGGGGAGAACATGGAGACTCCACGCAGAAAGATCCCGGGTGTCCTCACCAGGACGCAAACCGGCGACCTTCTAGCCGTGAGGCAACGATGCTAACCACTGATCCACCTTGCAGCCCTATATATTAAATATTTGTGAAATTACTCTTTTTACATTTTTTTATGGTTATTCGAGTAACATTCTTTTACATAAAATATAATTTCATAGGTATTTTTTGTCCTTTTCAGAAACACAGATGTAAATGTGCAGTCTGTGTCATCCGAGGATACTGACTTGTTTTAAACAGAGTGGCCGTCCTCTGGTTTCTGCGTGTTTTGACGGTGCAGCTGTAGTCCAGATCAGGATTACTGTTTGAGAGGATCAGAGAACTCTTGATGCTGTAAAGCTGCTCTTCTGTCTGCTCCACCACAGGGGTGCTCTGAAGTTCTGGGGTTGTGGTGGACCAGGTGAGCTCAGGTTTAGGGTAGATCCCCTCTGAGCTGCAGCTGATGTTGGTTCCTTCCTGCTGAATGTTCACTTGATGGACTGGAGCTGCAAGAAAATAGTAAGAACATATTTGTTTTTTGACCTATGGACACAGATACGGTCACGTCTTTAATGTTAACGTAGATTATTGCATAATTTGTTAAACCACTGAGGTTGATTTGCCTCTGAATCCATGAAATCCTCCAGAACTTTGGGGAATGCACTACATCTGATGTGTGCAATGTCTCCTAAATGTCAAATGGTCGGATACCGGGTCACCTAACAGTGAATGCATCAGCTCTGAGTTCTTCTGAGTGGTTCTCGTATAGAATTAAAGCCCATCAGTTTGCATTTACTGTAATATAAATACAGGCCCCTCAGTAGAAAGTCATGATGGCAGAATCAGTCCTCTCCATCATGGAGGACGCTAAATATTTGGAGTGTTTTATAGCTGCTCTTTGCTTGTGCTGCTCTACCTTCCTCTGTAAAATACCCCAACAAATACTAGTCCACTTTCGAGTTTTGTTCTTCGTTAGAAACTCTTGTACAGTATGACTTTGTGCTTTGGATGGCTCTTCTGCTTGTCAGGAAGGATTTTGGTTTATCAACATTCATCTATAAATGTCATCAACATCTTTTTTGCTCATACCCTCTCATGTCATCACACCTCTGTGCCTCACTGTCAGGACAATGCATTCACTGTGATAGTCCTGGTTCAGGTTCACACCAAACATCCTGGACTCCATCTGAGCCCAACACCTTTATCTTCATCTGACCAAAGAACGTGCTCCCAGCATTCAACAGGACTCCTGTCGTGTTCTTTAGCAAAGTTTCATCTTGTGGTTTAGTGCTGAAGGGATTAAAAGGCTGTTTTCCTTCGGGTTGATGGTTTAAACTGTTCTTCAGTCTGTCTGAGCCTCACAAAACTTCTGATTTCCACTGTTGTGCCAAGTGTGAAGCAGATAACGGTCGGTTTTTCAGAGCTAGATGATTGTCTGTGGTGTCATTTTGGTAGGACGACCACTGCAGCTCTGATCAGTGCTCCTATGTCTTCTTCCATACCTCCTGATTTCTCAACAGTGTTCAGGTAATTTTTAATCAGCGACTGATCTTTGTGGATCCTTTTCCATCCTGTCACACTGTCAGATTTTTCTTTTCCATGAGGAGCCATGATGCAGATAGACACGGCCCAATGGCTTTGAATGAAGAAAGTTTATAACCGTGTTCATGGAGTGAAGCTGACTAGAATACACAGGTGACCTCCGTTTAGTTTCAGTGATTGCAGGTTTTCCAACTTGTGTGTGGATTTGCTTTTGTTGGTTTGAGTCTGACATTTGGGGCCTGAATTATAAAATATTCTTACATTTTTGTTTTACGTGGTTTCTGTCTAACTTAGAAATAACGC